AATCTGATATTTTTACAATGAAAATTTGGTTTAGTTTAATATCAGGTGCAAAATCAAAATACTACTAACATTTTGTGACATGTAATGTTGTCTTTATAGGGGAGTTAATGGATGGAAGGCGTGGTCTTGTTCCTTCTAATTTTGTGGAGCGCGTCTCTGATGATGATCTGATAGCCTTTCACCCAGGTGAAGCCAATGAGCTGTCACATAGTTCTGCACAGGACATTAGCTTTCTGAGTGGAAGCAGCATTGAGAGAAGCGAGGAGGATGATGATCCAAGCAGCCTCAGCCCATTGCCATTGCAAGGAAATAGTGAGGGAGCTACTGAGGTCTCAGCTGTGCCTTACCCTAGAAAGTTGACCCTTATTAAACAACTAGCCCGAAGTGTAGTCGTTGGATGGGATCCTCCTCTTGTAGCAGCAGGCAGTGGAAATATTCTCAGTTACAATATTTATGTGGATAATGAACTCCGACAAAATGTTCGATGCGGAGGACAAACTAAAGCCTTGATTGAGAAGTTAGAGCTGAAAACTAGGACGTATCGTATTTCTGTACAAAGCATGACAGAGACTGGTTGCTCAGACCGGATGCGTTGCACTTTGTTGGTTGGCCATGGTTACACTCTAGCTCCTACACAGCTTCGTGTTCGCAGCTTGTCAGCCACCTCTGCAGAGATCACATGGCAGCCATGTAACAGCAACTATTCACATGCCTTGTATCTAAATGAAGAAAGCTGTGGATTGGCCAAGGCAGGGACCTACTGGTACACTTTTGGCAGTTTGAGACCAAGCACCATGTATAATGTTAAAGTGGAGGCACGACCTCAACGGATTCCGTTGGAGTTGCCTATGGAGAGAAGGGAGCCAAAAGCAACAGTTATGCAGCTGACAACTCCTGCTGCAGGTAAGTGTGATTTTACTATAGTATTTTGTTTTTACCAGTTTCATATATCGGTTTTCTTAAGCGTTCTATCATTTCGTTGAAATTGTAACTATGGATTATCAGATACTAACATATTCTTACAATCCCTAAAAGAAACCTTTAAACAAGCCCACGGTGACCATTGTGGCAGTAGGCACTGTGGAACAATTCATCCTCAAACTTCCCAGCACAAATACTGAAAGCCTAGTCTAAGCCAGTTCACTTCACTCTGCCCCCTTTCATAAGAGTGACCCAGTAGACACTAATCTACAATGTATACTATAATGAGACCCACTTTGAAGGGCTTCATTAGTGCTATAAAGGATAAATTTGCTTAAGGGCATCTACAGCTCGTTTACTACTTTGTGAAAATGTAAATATGTATAGCCTAAACATAAGGCTCATTTTAAAGGCATTCTTGCTTTATTAGTAGTACACCATTACAACTAATTTAAATTATATGCTGACTACAAATTATTACATTGACATATGAGAATATGGTGAAAAAGGTATCCTTTTGTGTTGATATGGGATGTAGAGTGCTATGGAGTTCAATGTAAGACCCAAAATACACATTTTTTGTAATAAAAAAAATAATATAGATAGAGTGTACTTGCAGAACAGCTTTTTTTGGTTTACATTGTATGACCGTTTAACATGCAAGAATACTGAGGGAAAAGTATATATATTAGCAATCAAATTTCTGTGCAGTAATTTAATTTTTATTCACAGGTCCTCCTGATGCTCCACTTGATGTTCAGGTTGAGCTTGGTCCAAAACCGGGCGTTCTGCTCATCACTTGGCTTCCAGTGACAATTGATGCTGCTGGAACCTCAAATGGGGTCAGAGTAACTGGCTATGCAGTGTATGCTGATGGACAAAAGGTGATTAAACATGTTGCTGTCATACTATAATAATGTATCTGACCATAATCTTTGCTGAACTTTTTCATTCTTAAAGCTGAACGCCTGACAAAGAGGAGCATATGTATGAGAACATTACTCTGCATTTTCTTCTGTTAGGAAACTTTGAGTGTTTGGACAGAGCTGTGCAATTTAACATGGCCTATTTGACTCTGTGCTGTCCCCAGTTTTGTTAGTCTGAGTACTGCTGTTTAGGAGATCGCAGAAGTCTAATATCAGATATTCAGGTGGTTATGTTGGTTATATGTAAAAATACATTTAATAAATATACTTGCGTTCAGTTTCAAGCGTCCACCTACCAGCTGTATTATAAATAATGATTTATCAGAGCAACTCCCTGGTGGGTTATTTTGGGGATTTTGTTTCTTCATGGGCAGGTCTTTGTGAACCAGTAGTTTTTGGCACAGATATCTTGATGGCGTTCATGAGTACTGTTCAGTATTCACTTTTTATAGAGATAGATGATTGTGATTGGCTAGTTTGGAGTTTAGGTCTCCAAACTTTCTAAACAAAGGGCCAGTTTGCTGTCCTTTACAATTTAGGTGAGGGCTGAACTGTGGCCAGAAGGAGTAGAAAAGGTCCTGATGTAAAAAAAAAAAAAAACACTGACAAAATGTTTGGTTTCAGTGGGAGGAATAGTGACCCATTGTTGGTGTAATTGGGAGAAATTGTGTAACAACGTTGGTGTCATTGGGATGAATTGTGCCCCTTTATTGGTGTCAGTGGGGGGAATTATGCCCCATTGTTGGTATCAATGAATAAAATAGTGCCCAAGGGTCAGATAAAAGCAAGTAAAGGGCTGCATCTGGCCACCATGGGGCTAAATGAATAGATTTTTTTTTTTAAAGTGATCTTGGTTTCCATATAATAGTAGTGAAATATGTAACCTGTATGCTATACTGCTTCATTAGGGTGTTGGAACGTATGTATGCACAACCCAATACAAGTAGAATGCTCTTGTTGTTGTTAAGGGAAGATCGTATAATTTAATGTAATGTCTACTTTTTCAGGTACTGGAAGTTACATCTCCTACAGCTGGCAGTGTGTTGGTGGGCCCATCTCACTTGCACCTGCTACAGGTGTCTCGGGAAATATCAGTTAGGACTATGTCACCCAGTGGTGAATCTGTGGATTCAGTGCCAGCTCAAATACCCTCTGCCTTTAAAAAGGTCCCAGAAAGCCCTTCCTTGTCGCAGACCTTTTCTAACTCCAGCCTTACCTGTGAGCAGCCTCTGGTCTCTCTTCCATCCATGCCTCTCATTTTATCTTCTCCCTGCTCACTTCACAATGAAGCTACATCCACTCTCAAGGCTAATCTCTCCACCCACACAAGTTGTAGCAGAGCGGACTCCATAGACTATTTGCCTGCCCAGATTGCACCACATCTTTCACCACTCAGTGCTTCCTCTGGTTACTGCCAAGGATCTTCCAGTTTAGAACCTTCTGAGGTTCAGGTGTCATGCCAAGGTACACAAGAAAAACTATCCTCTTCTCTACCAGATTCTGCCACACATCCGTTTCCAGAGAAAACAGTCAGTAACTGCTTGGAAATATCTAAGATCCCATTGCAGTCTGAAGGAACAGCATTACAAAATAATCAGGTAAGTTTAAAGATGTTATGTAAACCTACTAACTACAAACTCAGGTGGCTGTTATGATAGTCTTCCTTAATTTTGTTTACAAATAAAGTATAAATAAAACCATGAAATGAAAATCTTGCATGTAAGCTATTAATAGGATAGCCAGTATTTAGAATTGGAGATCTGCCCGTTTATGCCCTGTTTGGTGCCCAGTATACCCTCTTGCCTTTCATTGTGTTTTTACCTGTGCAGGGAAAAAAATCAACAGACTTGCTTAAGGGCCAGTTCGCACCACATGCAGGCCAGTGATTTTTTTTTCTGTGTCAAAAACGCAGAAAAGGCATTCCAGTTTTAAAAAAGAAAAAAGAACATGCATTTTTCCTGCACAGGACTGTACTGAAACACAGTAAAACTCCTCCAAAACACACCAGAATGCATCAAAAATGCACTGGACCCAGTACAGGAAAAAAAGCATCCGGAATGCATCCGGAAACACACTAGAATGCATCAAAATGCGTTAAACACGCGTATGCAGAAACACATCCGGTAAGGAGTGCGTTTTTGTGGTGTGAACCAGCCCTAAATGTCGTCCTCTTTCCAGCAGCACATACTTATTTATCCTGATCTCCCAGCCCATAAACAGAGCAGGAAGAGAGCACAGAAAATACCTGGTATTTATGAGAGCACATGATTCAATCTGTGACATTGCTAGTTTTTGTTGATTTGCCCAGTTTTGCGTGTAGGTACGGGAGATTCCAGCCCTGTTAAGCTTCAATTGCTGTGACTTTGCTCCCAGTGGCAGGAAAGATGCATATTTGCAGCTGGGGAGGGAGGCATTAAAGGGAACCTACCCCCTGCAAGGGCAAAGCACGTGCTCGTTTTAGGGCCTGTCTGTCTCAAATAGGTTTGGCATTCCCATACAACTCTATGGGATTGCAAAGCCCACTTGAAACGGGTCAAATTCAAGTCAGACAGAGGTCAACTGCAAGTCAGATGCACCTGCCAATGAAACCTGACTGATCTCCAAAGCATCTCAAATTGATGCCAAAATAATGCCGTCAACGCAATCCCCGGAGTCCTAACTAAAGTGTTTGCAATAGTAGGGCATGATATTAATTGAATATACAGAAGGTTGTCTGGTTAATGTAAATGTATACTGATTCCAGCCTGTTGTCACTTCCCAGAACTTGAAAAATATTTTTTTTCTTTTTTCTATCATGTGTTTATTTTAGTATAACTTAACATACATCAGGTTTGCATAAAAAGACAAGGGGTTTTCATAAAACCTGAAGTATATATATTATAGTGGAAAACAAATGTTAGTCATGTGTGCACGTATTCCACTTGGTAAATCTTCTCACAAAAATGAATTTCTTCCTTTGTATTGTAGAAGCAGTTTATGGAGACCAAAGAATCTGAAACCAGTGACCAAGCGCTGTGTGGCCTGCCACTGGGTGTAACATGGAAGAAGGAAAATGCAATAGAATTAAATCAAACAAACACCAAAGAGGACTGTTCGAGCCCAGAGACCGGATTATCCGAAGATGCAGAAAACACGACAAGCAGCCTAAGCTATCGAGGGGTGTCCATTGACGACTTTCTTGAGGTTGACAAGAAAAAGGGAAAGGAGCCAAGTGGATCTAAAGTTACTATTGAAAATGAGGTCCGTGATCAAGAATGATTTCATACTCTGTCAGTCAAACCTTTACACATTGGAGATATTTTTGAAGGAAACACAAAATAATTCCGTTAAAATATTTTCTGAATTACAACCTAGTTGTATTTGCAAGTAGGAGCTTTAACAAACATACTCTAGCACAGCTTTTCTCAACCTTTTTTAAACATGGAGGGACCCTTGAAATTATTGTCCAGTATGAGGGAGCCCCTGCTAATAACTACTTTTTTCTACAGCTTATGGTACATTAGTGTTATGGTCAGTGGGAGGAAAGCTTCTTATAGTGGTGGTCATTGGCAAAAAATGCTCCACTTACAAATGGTTAAAACATCATTGGTGTCAAAGGTTACAGAAATTACTCAACAAACCCCCTAACAACCTCTGGAGGAATCCTAGTTTAGAAAGACGACTACTAAAGGAGGTATATTTTATCAGGAAGTTCTTCTAAATAAATGTGTATGCAACAGGGTACTGATAATAACCAACCTTTCTTGTAATTGTTATTGTGGCCAGCTTAGTTGATCTTTGCCTACCATTCATTTAGCAGATAAAACGGCTCATAGTAAAATACCCATTCCCTTGCTGCAATGCTACAGAGAAGGACTGTTGCTCTTAGTATGTAAGCATCAGCCTCTCTGTAGTGTTGTGACACCCCCCTCATTGAACCAAAGCTCATGTTCCCTGCTGATGGGAGAAAACTCTCTAGCTTTGGCTCACAGGGGATGTGTTGAACCTGCTGCACAGTGACTGATAAATAACATGTAGATAGGGTTTTGTTCTTATACATTATTTGCCATTCAGAGGGTATTTTTCCAGGTTCAGATAACTTTTAATTTAATGATATGACGTTGAGATTTGTAGGTTAACGTATATTATTGTGTGTTTACATTTACTGTATTTGTCAAACTCAGGATGCTGGTGAATTGCCTTTAGACACACATTCAAGTATTGCGCACATAGATCACAGTCGTAGCTCTAACCTGTCTGACATTCTGGAAGAAGAGGAGTATGAGGAAGATGAAGATTCTAGTGTTATTCCCAGTGCCCAAAAGTGGGCTCAGACATCCAGGAACCCAGCAGCAGATAGCTCAGCAAAGGTAGGTAATGCTTACTTTGTTGACCTATACACCTAGTTCAAGAAATACTTTCCAGTTGTTGGAACTTCAAATGCTGTCAATTTTAAATACAGTTTTGAAACTCGAAACTCTATATAGAGACTCCTGACGTAACATATACTGAGTAACTCTGTGCTGGTCTTTATTTTTCTTACCTGAACTAACAAAACAGAAAAGCTATAAATTGATTGCTACAGAAATCTCCAGACGTTTGCTTGTGCAGTAGACATTGGCATTCAAAATTGGGTACATTTATGGCCGATATTGTGTAAAGCTGCCATGGTCTCAATGGTGATTGCCAAAGTTAGCAAAAGTTTAATGGGTAGTGTAAGAAAATATGGGTGATTAAAAACATAATACGGATGTATCAATATTATTATTCCACTCCCACTTCTCACTGTTCATTAGGGGTAGGTCAGCAATGAAACACACAACATAAAAACTGTAGGTGAGAAAGATTGTTATTTAAAGAATCAAAAAAAAAAAAAAAAAAAAAAACAGCTTTGTTACTGATAAATGTTACTTAAATTATATAGAATCAATGACCAATTCTAAATCGCATAAAAATCACAGGCAAAGATTAGTAGCAATAAGACCCAATACCTAAAACCCAAAGATAATATTCAAGCAATCATACACTGGAAAGACATCTAGCCAGCAAGCACATCCATTATTACCAGCCTCAGTCAGGTCTGCCAGTCGGAAACAAAATAACCACCGGTGCTAAAGGACTATGGGCACTACCATGTGTCAGTATCATCCCAGAAGCAGTTCCTCCATGAATTCCACAGGTAATGTATAGGCCTTGCTGCTCTCTTCAGATTAGGGGGATCTTTAAACACAATTGCTAAAACAAAAACAAAAGAGAGGGTACACCAGCCTTGTGGATTATCATATAAAGAATTTATTAGAATAATAAAGAATTTGCAATATACTCACAAAGGTAAGTATATTCAGGCATGTGTAAGTGAGGCTTATGTGTTTTAAGGGCACAACCCTCTTCATCAGCTCTGAAGGAGATGTACTCCTCAATGGTACTTTAGTATGTGACCTATAGGTGTTGAAGCGTCTGAAACTTTTCTGTATATGAAGTAAAGCATGCTTGATATACTCATTGTTGACCTTAAGGAGTTAATCCTCCACATTGTGTAAAAAGGATGTTTGATCCTGTATTCTCTGATGCTCCCCTTCTACTGTCTTCAATCCATCTGCTGATATAACAGAGCCTTCGGGGCAAGCTGCACGTGCTCAATTTAGTGTGCATTGCTAGTGAGTTTTTTTTTTCCTTTGAGAGGGTGCATGTGATCAGTACAGAGCCAATGAGCACTGTTAAGACAGAGGGTCGGAGGTCCTGAAGCCTCTTAGGACAATCTGGGGAGAATGCAAACTCCTCCTACAAGCTTTAGCCAGTGAATATAGTGAATACAAGGTCCTGAATTTAGTAACCCTTTAAGTGGCACAGAGCCACTATCTTTGGCTCTGTACCTTTTGTGTGCTATTTGCTGAATCCACTCACAGTGCAATCACAAGACTGGGCATGCACAGGACCACTGTTCCTGGATGACGTATCAGTATATCCTCCCAGAACAATAGGGGAGCAGACTACTGTCTGCAAGAAGTTAAACTAGTACAGAGCTACAGTCCAATGCAAACTTAATTTTAATTGAAATACTTGGCTGTCAGGTGTACTGGCAGGATTTTAGCAAGCCATCTCAATGTTAAATTTATTTGTGTTTATTTATTTGTGTTTGTTCAAACACAGAATCAGCAGTGAGTAATGTAGCACACTTTGGGACTAAGTTTTAAGAAAACCGATAATGTTCTCTACTGTCCACATGCTATCCACTCATCTGGACTATGTAGACTGTGGCCCACAATGGGACGCAGTGTGGAGTCGATGCTTAGCAGAGCAGAGAGCATCCTGTGATTGGTAGAGAGCCGTTCGTATGTCTTTGAAAGCTCCAGTGTCTGGCTTTTTACTGTTAATAACGTCAGTCATTTTTATTGTGCTCCATTGGCTTTGGACTTATGAAGCCAGTGGAGCGCAATGCACTTTGAATAGCAAACCACTGTTGTGTAAAATGTGCAGTATGGCTAATACAATAGTGTCACATGCTAATATGTAAGAGGTTTTTCTATGGGGTTTCTGAATAACTAATACTGTCAGCAGGTGATCAACTTTTGTTCTTAATGTGTCTATTACTTTCATATTACAACATTTTACTTTTTCCTCAATCTGTTACAAATGCATATAGCTGGACTGTTGTGAAACAGACAGTGATGAGGAAATTCTTGAGAGAATCTTGGATCTGCCTCTACAAAAGCATTGCAGTAAAAAGCTGTTTAGTATCCCAGAAGTGACAGAAGAAGAAGATGAAGAAGAAAATCCTGCCCCATCATCTTGCAAAGCTCCACTTTGTAATGTGGAAATCTCAAAATGCCATTATGCGAAAACTTACAAAGCCTTTCCACAGAAACCAGTGGGTCCAACCTGTGCAAACCTTTATACAGAACAATGCTGTAAGGACTTAAGTGGAAACAGCAGTAAACCTGAATGTTCTGTGGATGACTGTGTCTTTCAGGACTGGCAGCAGAAAGCAGGAAGTTGTGTTTCCCAGTCTCCCCTTTACTCGGTAAAGTCAACTGTTTCTGAAAGCACAATGTGGAATGTCAAAAAGAACAGCAGTGTGAATGAGAGAGCCCATTGCATGGCCGAAACAACTAGGATGAAGCAGAGTGAAGGGAAAGAGCACTGCAGTCGCTTGTCTTCAAATGCGAAGCAAGTTCTACTTTATAATTCTAGAGGCCATGATGTGAAAGAGCCAGTTTTCTCTGATACAAACAGGGAAGTTTCCCAAGCTGGCCACAGAAGTATAAAGGTTTCAAGATCATATCAGAAGCGTAAGTCATTTGTTCCCACAAATGTGACAACAAAATCTACTAGTACTTTTAGCAGTAGAAACTTGGAAATTGATATTGAATATGATACAGAGGATGAAGATGATCTGTCCGTCCCAACTTACTATGCCACACAGACTAAAGATGATATTTGGGAAGACAGTTCCCAGACCGACAGGGAAGGATGGAGTGAAAGCTCTGACTACTCTGAGCCTATTAGGTTTACTAGAATAAAGGATATTAAAAGGCAATCTAAAGTGCAGACAGGAACCACAGACTGTCTAAAACGACACACATCCCTACTACACATTGATCAAATTCATGGAGACCAGCAAGGCAGTGATAAAGAGGATCAAGGCAGCAGAACAGCAAGTAATAAAACTATGAGGACAGTCCGATGGGAAGCTGACAGAAAGGTGATACTTGGTTTTCCAGTGCTTACAGTGGTGTACAGTGTCCCCAGCTCCTTTTCCTGGTTATTGATGCAGTAGTTGCTGTGGCTTTGTTAGCGCCATCTTGTCTGCTTTTGCTTCATACATGATTTGAGAAATTACGTAGCTGAGAAAATGCAGCATTCAAGAGCTTTCACTGCTACTGCTTAAATGCTTCGCACAGCAATTGTCTTTAAAACACCGTATTCCTCTGGAATAATTTACAAGGCTGTTTTTATGTCATATGTTTTATATATCATAAATGTTAAACTTAAATGGATCTGTGGGAAAGGGTGATCAAGCAGAACAGGCAACTAAAGCACACAGCTGATGGACCCTGTCTTCTGCTTTACATGCCTCTCGGGGACCACTCGGGACCCTTTTTAAAATGTACGTAAATCCTAACAAGTAACCTCTCCTTTATGCTCTTATTTAGTCATACTGCCATTGAAATAATTGTTATATCGGTTCAATTAGTGCAAAGAATTATATTTTGATTCTGCCAAGAATCTTGTTAGCTGATAACTTCCTGGGCCTCTGCTGACTGTTATCAGCATTTTTCCAATTTCTCTGTGGATGATAGAACACCACCCTTATGTAATGGAGTAGAGGGGGAGATGTTCTGTAGTCCTTACACTTCCTCTTTTATGTGATGACTCTGCAGAGATACAGTGCAGTGAGTGTTGTCACCCTAGGACACGAAGTGTGTTACTGGCAGAATGCCTAGGTGAAAATACAGGGCAGAGAAAGTCTGAGAAAGCAAACAAACTTATCCAGCACATCTACATACTGGTAAGCTGCAGTATATACATTTTATGTTTTTGGTTTTGGAAACACTTTAAGCATTTTCCACTTTATAGAGGAGAATAGCCCCCTCCCCCAACGCCCACAATGCAGTGCCTGGTACTGAGTAACCTATCAGCAGGCCAAGCCACTGCCACAATGGCAATAAAGGGCTTATTTGCAGTATGCTTTTGAAGAGTACAACAGACCATTTTATGTTGACAGCTGCCTGCTAAATCTGCTGGATAGCCTTATTACACTTTTCCCGTGGATTCATTTAAGGAGGTTTTCCTTTTTGTTCCATAAACACATATAAATATATAACTAGACCTTTACCTACAGTACATGCTAATAAGGCATGGTGAATTCGATAATGCCACCTTGCACATTTTGGAAACCAGTTTATCACCGTTTACATACACCAGGGGTGTCCAACCTGCGGTCCACTGGCCACATGCTGCCCAAGATAGCTATGAATGCGGGCCAACACAAAACTGTAAACTTATTTAAAAATCTTGAATTTTTTTTTTTTGCAAAAATGCATTTACACTGTGGCTGAGGAAAAATTGGACAGTGTCTCTACTGGACTTTTATAAGCTTTATCTTCCGAAAGAAAAATATCCCACTCTTCACAAGCACGCCTTAGTCTCTTAGTCATGTCATCCGTTTTTGGAAGCACCTATATTTGTGAGCAAGTATTTTCAAGGAAGAAAAACACGAAAGACAACATTGGAACCAAAATATCCTATGAGCACCTTGAGAATTTCTGCTACATCCATGGAACCACATGGTGCGTCAGTTTATTAAAAACAGTGTCAAATATTGCACTAGTTTTATGTTGCCCTCTTTTACTTTTATAATTAAAAAATTGCAAAAAATTAAGTTTTACATTATCTATATCTGTGATCGTTAACTTGTGATCTTCCCAACCTTTTCTGCTCATCAGCTATCCTGATTGTTAGGATATTTTATATGTGGCCCAAGACAATTCCTCTTCTTCCAATGTGGTTCTGGAAAGTCAAAAGGTTGGACACCCCTGACATACACCTTTTTAAAGGCCTTACTAGATAAGGATTATTGTAAATTATTTTGAGGAGTATTTGTAATGTCTGTGCTGTGAATCGCCATTGTTATTGTATGCTAGCCTTCGCTCGGCCTGGTCTATGTTATTACTCATAGCTGAATGATTATGAAGATAAATATTGATCAATTTGTTGATTTATCTTTAGGATGAGTGGAATGAAGAACCAAAGGTGCCATTACATCCAGATAATACTGGAAATGCAGTATTAGAAAAGAAGTCGAGATTAAATCATCTGGCCTCAGGCTCTGAACCAGGTTTGTAAGGGGTTTAAGCTTTATATTCCAGTCTTTTTATTGGAGATAATGGATGTACAAAAATGAAAAAGTACAAAGAAAGGAGAGACCTAAGCTCACAATGCAATTCAAAATGGAACAAATAGGCAAATGAACATGGCACACAAATATGGGAACCAGAAGTCCCTCTGGCATGACCCATTAATAAAAGGGATAAACAGCAACCATTCTCATTGATCCAGGACATATTTCACTATTGGGAAAATATAATATTTAAGTACCTGAGAATGACACAAAAGCAACCAGGTCCTAAATTTGAGTACATTAAGAAATAATAACAAGGTTAAGAAATGAAAAGAAGAAACGAGAAGAAAAAGAGAATAAAAGAGGAGTTGAAGTAGAGGAGGGTCAATGAAGGCCCCGCTAGGGGACAGATAAGTATTGAATCCACAGATCCCACATTTGATCATATTTCATCAAATTATTTTGAATAATGTAGGTAAGTTTGTCATTTAACCATGATTCGATTTACTTTTAACATAGTCAAGTGGCACCACCAATAGTAATGGTGATCCTCGGGGTTTAACATTTAAATTGTGTATCTGGCAAAAAAAGTACATCTCTTCAATATATAGTCACCTTCCTATGCATTGTCTTTGGAAACACTGCAAGTGCACAAAAATATCTTGATCTTGCTAAAAATCCAATAAACCTGTAACTTCATGTGTGTCTGCTGCACTGAAGTCTCGATCAGTATTAACAGCTCTGCCAGTTCACATCTGTGGACTATAGAACACCGTTTATCTGTTATGGCCATGAGGAGAGAGGGAGGAGTCCTTTGGACTAAATCAGGAGTGAGTAGCCTAGGATGGCAATGCTACTCCAGAAAAGATACCATATAGCGAGTCAGCATTGTAACCCTAGACAGGAAGAATTAATTTTAGCTGCAATATATTACATTTTTGTTCTTAGGTGTAAATACACTAGGCTGATGTCACACAGGCGATATGGATGTTAACAAATCTCAAGCATTGAGAATGCCAAAAGTCTGTCTGCTAGTCCCTGTGGGATCGCTCTCTCATTAGCTGACCCTTTTGCTGATAGCGATTGAGAATTTGGCAGGATTCGGGGCCAGTGAGGGAGCAATTCTGTAGAGGTTGTCCATGTGACTCTGCTGATCTGTTGGTAGCAGCAGAGTCACCAGTGAGAAATCAGCCTCAAACATCTACTAATCAACAAGGAATGGCTTCACCAGAAGAAGATTAACGTTTTGGAATGGCCCAGCCAGAGCCCAGACCTGACAGATTTGGAGTGTTTATGCAAGGAAGAGTGGGCAAATATTGCAAAGTAAAGATGTGCCATGCTGATATACTCATACCCAAAAAGAGTGCTGTAATAAAATCAAAAGGTGCTTCAACAAAGTATTAGTTTAAGGGTGTGCACACTTATGCAGCCACATTATTTTAGTTGTTTATGTTTACTTCTCCTCCTAAAAGATTTCAGTTTGTTTTTCAATTGAGTTACACAGTTTAAAGGTCACATTAAAGGTGGAAAAAGTTCTGAAATTATTTATCTTTGTCTCATTCTTTTACAACACAGAAACCTGACATTTTAACAGGGGTGTGTAGAGTTTTTATATCCACTGTATATGCAGTAAAGCATGCTTGTTATACTCATTGTGGACCCTAAGGGGTTAATCCTCCACATTGTGTAAAAAAGTGTTCGATCCTGACTTCTCTGATCCTCTCCTTCTTCTGTTCCAAATCCATTTGCTGATAGTACAGAGCCCTAGGAGGCACTGTGCACATGCTTAGTTTGGTGTGTATTGCTAGATATTTTTTTTTTCTATTTGAGGAGGGTGCATGTGATCAGTAAAGGGCCAATCAGCACTGTCCAGACAGAGGGTCTGGGTCCTGCAGCCTCATAGGACAGTCAGAGGAAAATGAAAACTCCTCCTACAAGCTTTAACCAGTGCTCAGTCAGGCATTGATCTAAGTCACAAGACTGCTATATACTGCTGATGAGAAAACATATTTAATAGTTTATATATACTAAACTATTTGCATTTCCATGTTCTGTACTGTGGGAGACCAGATATAGTGCATACATGGTCTTGAGTTTAGTAACACTTTAATTTAAATAATTGCATTTTTTAATTGTATGTTTTTACATAACCTATTTATATATTGTGTCTCATGAAGAATTTTTATTTGATAAATATTGTAGATGTTGCTGCCACACTTGCAGAGTGTCATCAGGATAAGGGTTTTCAAGAGAAAGAGAGCATCTCACAAAGACAAGAAGTCGATTCTATAAGAATGTTTGTAGCCCTTTTTGATTATGACCCAGAAACCATGTCACCAAACCCTGATGCATATATGGAAGAGCTTCCATTTAAAGAAGGACAAATATTACAGGTATATTTCTAATACAAGCTGTGCTTATATGTTTTTTGTCCAGACCAATCAATACAGCATCATTGTTATCTACCAATAATGTTTCACTTTTGATTTAGTCTTTTCTAGAGTGAAATTCGACTCTGCTCATTATAATGTGAAAATGTTTTCTAGGTTTTTGGTGATAAGGATACGGATGGATTTTATCAGGGAAAGCATGGAGGGAGAACAGGATACATCCCCTGTAACATGGTGTCTGAGCTACACATAGAGACTGAAGAAGTTAGAAAAGAACTTTTGAGACAGGGCCGCCTAACATCACCCTCATTACTGAATGACCTAGGTAAGCTGCTTCCTTGGGCTTCTGTTTGGTTGAAGATTTGTAATTTATATCATGAACTGTTCTTACCTTCCGCTTACAATGAATGCTGGGACATAGAAACAACTCCAGATGCCCAGAGAATCCACGCATGGATGGATCCAGGCATCAGCCTGGATACCCATGGTATGTGCCACCACTACTCTTGCCTGGTTCCTTGAGTAATGGAGCCACTGCCACTCTTGTTTGTCTGCTGCTTGCTGCAACATATTGGGCAGTCACATTTTTTCTATACAGGCATGAGGATGTGAGCCATAAATATGGCATAGCCTGTCTTGCCATTCCTCCTCAGTATTACAACCCCACTTTTCTGGGGTTTCAGAGCAGCTGAAGGCACAGCCAGCCATGTCAACAGAGGGATAAGTGATTGTGTGGGTATGTTTATGCATGTGTATACAGTGTTTGTATACAGTGTGTGCTTAGGTGGTACTGCGGTGCTATGCATTAAAGGGTGGTGGTGAAAAGAGTGTGTTCTACGCTGGGCTGCGTATACTTCTGAGCCCTGCACTGTGAATGTTACATACACCTGACCTCTGCACTATGTACATTACCCACTCCTGACACCTGCCCTCTGTACATTATATGTCTGCCCCCTGCACTCTGTGTAGTATATAATTCTGACCCCTGCACTATGTACATTAACCATTTCTTACACCCTGAACTGTGTGCATTACCCAATTCTGACCCCTGCACTCTGTACATAGGCTGAAATTTTAACTCCCTCCCATTGTTGCAATTTTGCAAAACCCACAATTCGCACCACCTCATTCTTTTCTGAGGCCGAAAAAGAGAGCTGAATCCACCTCCCAAAATGTCCCTAAATTGGTGCATGTCTTTTTCATAGAAGTGGCAGTGTATAGTGTACTAGTTGTTTGTTTTCAGCTTTAAGAACCATATCCTTTTATGAAGTTTTTCAGTACTCAGGACATTATTATATATTTGTTTTTTCTTCGGAAGCCAAAACAAAAAGGGAACAAAAGCATTTTAAAATGCTGTTGCATAACACTGTGGTATTTTTAGAAAATGTGTGGTCAGGATATCAGAGGAAAGTGAGGTAAGTACCTTTTAAAGAGAACTCTGGGTAGCACACAGACTTCATAATTTAGCAGTAAAATTTAGCAGTAAGTATACCTACCTAAAGCCGCATTAAACCCAAAACCAAAAATGTAAAATACTGCAGCTTACTAATCATTAGATCATTCAACATGTTTTGGAGCATTGCTCTGAAGAGGGAACAATATTTGCTCTGAAATATGTCAAGTATTATGGATTTTAATAAATTTGGGACTTTCATTTATCTACGTCCTTACTCTTCAATGTGTGGACTCCCATTATCCAACAACAGCATTGGGATGTGTTGTTGAAGGCCTCTTGGAATAGACTGTGGTTTTTCCTGCTATGTAAGCTTTTCAGCCGGGATACAAATTAATGTTTTCTCGGCCACTTGCCAAGGTGAGCTGCATACATTGATTTCAGTTTTCCTGTTTACCTACCAATACTCTTAGATGCGCTATGCCTTTTGTTTTGTTTTTCAATCAATGATGATTGGATCACTCTAGATGGAAAGCATTTTCTCTGCTCCCAACATTTTTGCCGAACTTTGAGTGGAAAGAGAGTTCATTAAACAGTGGTAGATTTCTGTAATTTATCCTGCCATCTCAGTCTTAGTTACCCAGGACCCTGTGTTCACTATATCTGGTCTCCCTCAGTATGCAGAACATGGAAATGCAATTATTTTAGTAAATATAAACCGCTAAATACCTTTTCTCATCAGCAGTTAGAGCAGTCTTGTGACTTCTATCAGTGTTCAGCAGAGCACTGGTTAAAGCTTGTAGGATGAGTTTTCTCTAGGAGGCTGTAGAGCCCCTGACCTCTGTCTGGGCAGTGCTGATTGGCCCTGTGCTGATCACATGCACTCTCTCAAGAAAAAAAACCCTATCTAGCAACACGCACCAAACTGAGCACGTGCAATGTCTCCACACGATATGTCTAATCAGGAAATAAGAGGGAGACACTGGAAGAAAGGGAGGATCAGAAAAGTTGGGATCAAACATCATTTTTAGATAATGCAGAGGATTAACCTCATAGGTTCCACAGTGAGTACAACAAGCATGCTTTACTGCATATACAGACAGATTTTACTGTTGTGGGTTTAGTAACACTTTAATCAAACTTCTCCCTGTACCTAGTTTAATAGTGCAGCGCTAAAAGAAATAAAATCCGAATATAGATATGAATATGTAACTGTGACATAAAACTTATGCATATTTTGTCATTTCGATTCACTGGCAACAGTTTTAAGTTATATGAGTAATACACCCAATATAGTGAACTAAAGTGCTAAATAAGTAACCAAATCTGCATAATTCATAAAGTGATTGAATAAATAATAGCAAATAAAAATCAGTTCATAAACAATATTTTTAAATGATGGGCATAGGGACAGTCCAATCAAATTCACTTCAAACTTGGCTGTACTATTCCCAAAAGTGAAAATCTTCAATGTAATCCACCACCACAATACACTCGCCAGAAACTAGTGTGAATAAAACATACTCAAATACTGTTACCAAGAAAAAACAAGACCTCTCTTGGTGTTTCTTCTGTGCTGGAAGATCATGCAGACATCTCATGTGGCTACCTGATCAAGAATTCAATTGTATAAGCCATTTAAATCTGCCATAGTATGTCAGTCAATCAACAAGATTATCCAAAACGATCCATGCGTGAGATGTCTGTACTAAACAATGGCTTATACAGTGGGGATCGAAAGTTTGGGCACCCCAGCTAAAAATTTGTATTAATGTGCATAAAGAAGCCAAGGAAAGATGGAAAAATCTCCAAAAGGCATCAAATTACAGATTCGACATTCTTATAATATGTCAACAAAAGTTAGATTTTATTTCCATCATTTACACTTTCAAAATAACAGAAAACAAAAAAATGGCGTCTGCAAAAGTTTGGGCACCCTGCAGAGTTAATATCTTGTACTGCCCCCTTTGGCAAGTATCACAGCTTGTAAACGCTTTTTGTAGCCAGCCAAGAGTCTCAATTCTTGTTTGAGGTATCTTTGCCCATTCTTCCTTACAAAAGTCTTCCAGTTCTTTGAGATTTCTGGGCTGTCTGTCACGCACTGCTCTTTTAAGGTCTAGCCATAGATTTTCAATTATGTTGAGGTCAGGAGATTGTGAAGGCCATGGCAAAACCTTCAGTTTACGCCTCTTGATGTAATCTCCCGTGGATTTCGAGGTGTGTTTAGGTTCATTATCCATTTGTAGAAGCCATCCTCTCTTTAACTTCAGCTTTTTCACAGATGGCATCAAGTTACCATCCAAAATTTGCTGAAATTTTATTGAATCCATTTTTGCTTCTACTCGTGAGATGTTCCCTGTGCCACTGGCTGCAACACAACCCCAAAGCATGATTGATCCAACCCCATGCTTAACAGTTGGACAGAGGTTCTTTTCATTAAATTCTGTGCCCCTTCTTCTCCAAACGTACCTTTGCTCATTCCGGCCAAAAAGTTCAATTTTAAACCTCATCGGTCCACAGAACTTGTTTCCAAAATGCATCAGGCTTGTCTATATGTTCATTTGCAAAGTTCAAACGATGATTTTTGTGGTGGGGACGTAGAAGAGGTTTTCTTCTGATGACTCTTCCATGAAGACCATATTTGTACAAGTATCTCTTTATAGTGGAATAGTGTACCACAACTCCAGTGTCTGCCACATCTTTCTGGAGGGATCGTGCAGTCAAATGTGGGTTTTGAATGGTTTTTCTCACAATCCTGCGAGCTGTTCTGTCTGATATTTTTCTTGGTCTTCCAGATCTTGCTTTAACTTCCACTGTTCCTGATGACTGCCATTTCTTAATTACATTCCGAACAGAGGATATGACATCTGAAAACGCTTTGCTATCTTCTTATAGCCTTCTCCAGCTTTGTGAGCGTCAACTATTTTCAGTTTCAATTTTCTAGACAACTGCTTAGAAGAACCCATGGTGCTGATTGTTGGGGCAAGGTCAGATGAGTTTGGGCATTTAAAACCTTTGAGATTGACATCACCTGGTCTTCCCAGACGATGATTGAGAACAATCCATGACACTGGCAGGTCTCAGCTTGGCAAAGGGGACAGTGCATGCTAGAAATTCTGCAGGGTGCCCAAACTTTTGCAGACGCCATTTTTTTGTTTTCTGTTATTTTGAAAGTGTAAATGATGGAAATAAAATCTAACTTTTGTTGACATATTATAAGAATGTCGAATCTGTAATTTGATGCCTTTTGGAGATTTTTCCATCTTTCCTTGGCTTCTTTATGCACATTAATACAAATTTTTAACTGGGGTGCCCAAACTTTCGATCCCCACTGTACAATTGATTTCTTGATCAGGTGACCACATCTGACAGAAGATACCAAATCTCTTCTCAGAAGCCTCTAGCTCTGGAAATCGTAGAGCACAAATCTCTTTACCCAGACTTCAACTTCCAAACCAAAGTTCAGCCCTGTCTTTCCACACAAGACTTGGACCATACAGCACAGCAAGTGTACCCCAAAGCCCCCTTTATCAATGAGGGTCCATACACACTAGGCCACTGAAAAAATGCCAGCACCTCTGACAGAAAAAAAAACAGTATAAAGAAATTTCATAGTGACTCGTATTGCAGTTTATGTGCGTTTTATGAGCATTTGCCTTTGAGTTTTTTTTTTTTCCAAAACATTCTCCTCTGATCATTTTGCACTGTAAATAATTTACACTTGAAAACACTGAACGCTCCTAGATGCCTTATTTATGAGTGTTTATTCGCTTCAAGCATTTTTTCAAACAAATGCTTCTTTCACAAATGAGATTCTGATTTTTTTTTCTGCCTGAAAATGCTCCTCTGCAAATATGCCTGTAAATGCCCTAATGTGCATGAACATATAGGCTAATATCGAACTGCTTATACAGGTTGAAGAAAAAACACGA